TTGGGACACCCTGTATAATTACCAATATTTTAGAAATGTGCCCTCAAATGTCATGTATAACATGCCATAAATAGATTTTCCCAAAATATATTTGTTTATGAGTAATATTCCGTCCACACATGGATGGACCACCCTGTATATAGAGATAATCTGTAGATGTGAAATTGTCTTTTTAACGCTAAAGTACAACATCAATCATGCATCAGTTTTATCATGCAGAATTTCAATTTGCATCCTAAAGAAAAGCACGGTATACAAAAATATCCAAGATACCGTAGTAGTTGAGGTGAACTTTATCTTCTGTGATATTAATCAGCAATTATATATCACCTAATCTAGAGACAACGCAGCAAACGGAATTCCTGACAACATCAGTTTTGGAGCTCTGATAAGCTACATTGATATGTTAAAAAGGGCATAAAACCCCTTTTTCCTGTCTGACTGAAATATCCACTTTGACACAACCCAAACTCCGCATACTGCATCCTTTCCCGTCTTTAGTATTCCACTAGAAATAATAAATACGGCACAACCATTTCATCTGGGCCCCATTTGTCTTGTCGAACAAGGCAATCGTCCGCATGCAAACCAGACAAAAGAAAGGCTGTGAGAGAATGAATTGTCAGTGCAACGACAGCCGCTGCGAAAGAGGAGGAAGAAGAAGAAATCTCATTGAGATTCTGAGACAGCTGATACACATTGTTATGTTAATACGTCCGGAAAAGGCGGGACTCCGGGATCTGTCGTACGTTCCAGCTAAAAGATTATTTCTCCGGTCAGCCGGAACGCTTTGCTGAACAGTGGTGGAGAAAGGGAACTGAACGAATCTGCAAAACGTAATATCGAAATAAGACTGTGAAAAACGACATCTATTATCAGAATGGCAGCTAACGATTGGAACTATAAAAGTCTCAGCTCGCGTTCGGTAACCCAGTTGCTGAATCAAGTCTAGAGCATGCTGATGAGTTGCCTAAAAACACAAAACAACTGTCCATGATTGATTGTCTATGCGAGTAGACCTCATCTACTATACTGTCAGAATCGTCAGCCTATGCGAGCTTAGACCTTCTCAGTTTCAACATATAGCTGCTATACACTCTCGTCATTGATTCTGGTAGTAGATAGCGCTTTGCGTTGTCTTATTTTGATAGACCGTATATCCTGGATAGAGGGTAGTTGCTATGATTTCGTTCGTTGTCCCAGAGACCAAACTTACCCCATGCTGATGAGCCAGCAAAAAGCACAAATCAGCTATCCATGGCAGGCTGTCTTTGGTCGAACGGACGGAAGCAGCATGTTACTTTACTCAAGTGTTCATCGCGTTTTATCTCAATAGTTGAATATAGTCCTATGCTGATGTGCAACGAATGATTTCTTGACAAGCCGGAGCAACGTTAGAAAATTTTGAAAGCTGGGCTTCTGCTTATTACTTTAATTATCGAGGAAGTAATGCTGATCGAATATCTAAAACGTTTGTGTAAGCCTTACCACTCAATATGTTTACTCCACTGTATATGTTTACTGCACATTAATTGTGTGACGTAAGCTAGAAGGTTCCCATTCAACCTCTGGTATCAGATACCAAGTCGAGAGGTATTGCTAGACATATTTTTGAAGCTCGGTATTGCGGTACTTCACCATCACCTTGATGATCAGAGAAAGCAGATTTATATGTATGTATAGTCGAAATCACGAAAGATGACGATTACGTCATCATTTTAGTCTTTAGCAAAGACTAAGGCCCGTATCGTCATTCGTCCCTACAATTGTAGGGCGCCTTTATGGCCTCCTTGATTGTCGTAGTTTTCTGCGTCTCCGTGTCAGAACTCTATTTTGAGGTTATGTCACAAACATCTATTTGCATCAAATTGTGCTTGCTTTTGAGTTATATCATGTTTTATTAGCCTGAAATTTCCTACAATTTAAAAATAAAACATATCTTCACAATAGGAGAGCGCTGACGCTGACACGGGACGGGTGCAATCTAGAAATGTTTGAAGGAGATAAAGGAGTATGACAATCAAGGAGGCCATAAACGCGCCCTATAATTGTAGGGACGACTGATGATACGGGCCTAAGGACAGCGATTTGTAGGAATATTTTTAATGAAGTTTCAGATATGTTAGACAGAGACAAACAGAATTTTATTGTCTAAACGAACTGTATTGCTAATTTGCATGTATCCGACAGAGTTAGGCGATGTTTTCATGTTGCATGATCGATCATATTTGAAAGATGATTAGTTAGGTTATGTTAAAGCAGGTTAGGTTGTTTTTGAATAATACTTTGGTCTTTGGTGTTCCTGCCTTAAGGTATTCTACTCATAACTGTTTTTTTCAAAACCAAAACTCCCCACTAAAATTATTATTATATATATATTACACAAAACCATGAAATAAAATGAAAATAAAAATAATCAGTGAAATAATATATATATATAATCATAATACAGATTTGTTGTCATTATGTGCAAAAGTATAAGGACACCATCGAAAAAATCAATTTTTTGAGTTTGTGATTGGTTTTTTGTGTCTTAAACATCATTTTGTGATCGAATCTTGTATATAGACTAGAAAAAAGACTATTTTGTCATTATTTATGTTTATTGCATCCAAATATCTCATAAAGATGTTTAAAAATAACGAAAAGATCATGACAAGTCAAATTAGGTTCTCTTCATCAATATGCCTACCTCGTGCTTTGATGATTGCAGCGCATATTCTTGGAAGCCTTCTGACCAATTTTTGAAGTGTTTCAGGTGCGATATTCTCCTAAGATATTTTCGGATTGTAGAGCATCTATTTTTCACTGGTCACGTGCATGTTCTACACCTGCTGGTCGAGATCATCCCATAATAATTCGATCGGGTTCACGTCAGGGGATTGCAGTGGCCAATCCATGATTTTGAGCACACCTTCCTCTTCCTTGGACCGTAGATTGTTCATGCACAGATGGGAGGTGTGCTTGGGATCATCGCCTTGTTGAAAGATCAATCCGTTGCGGATCAAACCAATGCCAGATGGAATGGCACTTCGTTAAAGAATATTGAGATAGTGTTCCTTCCGCATTATTCCTTCGACCTTGACTCGTTTTCCAATACCATCGTAGCTAAAACACCCCCAGACCATCACGGAGCCTCCGCCATGTTTAACAGTTGGAGTAATTAATACATTCGAGATTATAACGCTTATCTTTATTTCGACGTACATACTGGCGTCGCCTAGATCCAAAGATCTCGAACTTTGATTCGTCGGTCCATAATACAAACTTCTACTGATTAACTGGCCACTCTTTATATTTACGTGCAAACAATAATCTTTTCCGCTTGTTTTGTGGTCGTAGAACTTTTCTCACAAACGACGTTTGACAGTAGCAACCGAAATTGGATTAGTCAGGGTTTTGTTGATTTCGGCACGAATGTCTGGTGCTGTTTTGAACCGATTTTGTTTGCTCATCAATAAAATGTGTCATCATCAGCTTGGGTTGTTTTTATTTGTTCGGCCAGAGCGTTTTCGATTAAAATTTGAGTTGGTTTCAGCACACCGCTTCAATGTGGTTTCCACTCCACCCTTCGAAACACCAACAATATTTGCAATTTCACGAATTGTTTTACCCAATTTTCTCAAAATAAGTATTCGTGAACCTTTTGCAAGAGAAATCTTCTTTTTTCTAGCCATTTTCAGCAAATATAATCGGTTTTGCGCATGTAAACAATGATCTGAATGAATTTAATAATTCTAGTACACACAGAACACAACAGAGGGCGCAAAGAGCTGTTATTTTATTCGACGCGCACTCAAATAATGATTCAGAATGACTGTTTACGATACTAGCGTCCATATTTGAATACTTCAAAATAAAATAATAGTTATTATACTTGAAATTACAGCGCAAATATGAAATAAGAATTTTTTATTCCTTCATAATTTCATCATTTTGACTAATCATAATTAGCTAATTTAATGCAAATGGATATAAATCTTAACAATATAGTCTGTTTTCTAATTTATGTACAAGATTTAATAAAGAAACACAGTAAAAACCAGGCACAAATTCAAAAATAGGTTTTTTGATGATGTCCTTATACTTTTGCACGGTAGAGTACGTCCATTGATTACTTCGGTACAATTTCTGATATGACGTAATAGCATCTTTCGTGATTTTGAGGTGGAGGAGTTTTAGTGGCTGAGCGAAGGCGTATCTCAATTTTTTGGCAGTAGTATTTATATACTTCTCACTCCAGTCGTCAGACATATTTCTAACATCGTTTTCCCGATATATTTGCCCCTAAAACCGACCAGTAGAATAATTTTCCATAACAGCGTCGAGAAACAGATATAGCCGCCAGCCGTGGCATGCCGCTATCTTTCCCTATGCCGGTGACAGTCACCGTCTGTGTGGTCGTATCCAGTGTTGCCACATGCTCTTAAAAATCCGGGCCAGATTTTACGTTTAGAAAGTGCCAGAGTTTGCAATTGTGGACAAATCTTTTTTTTACGTTTAAACTAATCCAATTCAGATTTTTTTGTGAAATTTAGGTCAATTTACCTATAAACTTGCTTGTTATGTACTTGCTACATTGTGTGGATTCAGGGAATTGCAGCGCTAAAATAACAATTTTGATGAGGTATGACAAAAATGCTAATTTTGACATTTCTATGAGAATTTTATCAAAATTGCATTTTTTGTCATAAAGCGCTAAAGTGCTGCAGTTCTCTGAGTCATGAGTTCACCGGATATCTAATAAACAAAAAATATAATAAATACTTATTATTTAAAAAAAATATTGAAGAAAATTACTTTGTGTTAATGAGATTAAAAATAAATTTAAAACGCTTACATACAAAAACAAAACCATAAAGAAGCTTACTCAGTAAGCCTCGTCTTACTAGTTGGAAACCACAATAGCCAATGTACGCTATTCAAAAAGTGATCAGATTAGACTATTAATTTGACCGAATAAATTGCATTAAAAATGGAGTGATGGTGGAAAAAATGGGCTAGATTTCGAAAAGAGAGGGGCTAGGGGGCCACTCCACCGGGCTACCTGTGGCAACACTGGTCTTATCAGCAGGCTTACTCATAGCCATTCTTGTAGCAACGTTGACGTTCCCTGTCAAATAGCTGGGAACAAGTAATCTACTTGACGCCATTTTTTATAGTCATTCTATCCGGTTTGAATTTGATCAGCACGTGAAATTCCGGACCACATTGTAGAACTTTTACAAACTTACTGACTTAAGAATACTAAGATAGTTGAACGCACCACCACTGCAGGGGTCTCGAACAATCGAACGACGCGACGTCCGACAACTGCACTTTAATTATGCATCCCTCGGTGGCTCGGCACAGCTGCAATTATTCACTAGGAGCGGCCGTAGCTCAGCAATGCGAAGGTGCGCGACAGCAACGTCGAAGCTGAATTGCAGCTGAATCTCCTCCAAAACGACCGATTGTAGACACGGAAAGGCGACACAAGAGGTTGGAATATTCAAGGAGATCGCCGTTCAGTGTTCGACATTGCGAACACGTCTGCGGAGCTATTCTACTCTTTAGTCTCCGCTAACGACCGAGTCGGTACTATGACCTATTTTACAGATTGCTTCCAATAAGGGATAAGATTGGAAATGAGAAGGTGCTTGGTTCGAGGTTTTATCTGATATTATGGGTTCAATTTCGAAAATGTTATTTGAAAGAGTATGTTGGTGGAGTGACGGTATAGAGTGGTAAAATAACACAGCCGCACCGGCAGCAATGCAAAAGTGCGCGACACCAACGTTGAAGCTGAATTGCAGCTTAATCTCCTCCAAAACGATGGACTGTAGACACGGAAACACGATATTAGAGGTTGGAACAGGGTTGCCAGATGGATCAGACAAAAATCCCCCAGAACCTTATTAAGAAAATACCCCAAATCATATTTCAGTAGTCCGAATAGACTAATTGACTAGTTGGAAAACCACGAGGGGGGTGATATCAAATAAAAAGGAATATATTTTTCCAACGAAAACGTTTTTCAAACTTGGTCCTTGAACCACGACTGCCCATGTAAGTAAAACGATACGCACATTCGCAATCACTTCGCCGTTTGGAGATTGGGAAATTGCAAATCCGTGGATCATTAAGACGAACAAATCCATGCGAAATTGCGACGAGTAATCGTCTAGTTGTTTCTCCCAAAACAAGCGTGTGAGTCAAAGAATCAAACGTTCAGTTTACAACTTATTATTCTGTTTTTCTGTGATCTATGGAGGCATATCTACAAACCTACAGTTGACATAAAGGTGTAGAGATGGGTCAGCGTAGATGTTTTGTGGAGATGGATGCGACATGAGGAAAGGAAATGCTACAGAAAGATAATATTGTTGTTTGGCTGTTATCACTTTTTTAAAGTTAAAATAAAATATCCTAAAAATACCCAAAGATTTTATGTTTCCCGAAAAAACACCCCAGAACATTTTATCCCCCAAAAATTTCTCAAGGAATGCAAAAACCCCTCAAATTTGGGGGAAAATCCCCCAATACGGCAACCCTGTGCTGGAATATTCAATCTCAGTGCTCGATATTGCGACTGTTTCTCAAACATTTTAAATCGAACATCCCATATACAATTTTCTTATGATATCCAGTTTAATACTACTGCATAATAAAATATAAGGTGTTCGATTAAAGAAACATGTTTATTGTACACGGAATTGTCTAGCATCCTGTATATCTCCAAATAATTTAGAAATACACACCTACAAGATGTCAATTTTGCTGCGTAAATCGCCTTCGAATATATTTTATAGTTTTTCTATCAAACTACTTTCCATTTTCGTTGAGACACCCTGTATATATTGTATGTGTTCACGAGATGTTTATCATATCGGTAAGTCTCCAATAAACGGTGCAGGAAGGCTTACCTACAGGGGCTAAGGCATCAAAATGTAACACCCTGTACCTCCAACAGAGAACACTTCTTGCCTTTGCGCCCAGTGAAACATTTGATCAGCACAACATGAACTATCACTATCGAATTTTCAGTAAAACTGAACTGAACTGACCGGTGGCAACGTATTAAGACTAGTCTTTTTCACGAATACCCATTACGGTAGAATAACAGTTGATTATCTAGAGATATTAAAAATTCCCCATATCGTCAAATTCTGACGGATCCGCCAACGCCAGGTAGACATAGCAGTATTTTGTTTTTTTTTTGTACGATACAGATTCATTTTGTACTTGCAACGGCCATTCGCCACATCGTATGGAAGAGCGCTGACGGATTGCATGTGTCCAACGTTCGCCACATGGCACGTTCGGGCTCTTGTCGGTGAATTTAACCCGCGTCAAAGGACGTTTCAACGTTGGAAGCATGGTTCTTTACGCTCCCGCACGAAATGACATGTGTTTGATGGTCTTAGGTTAGAACCAGTAGCGGCGAAAAACATTATTTACTTGTTTGCTGTGATTGTGGTGAAGTAGTAGTATGTGGGAAGTATTTTGATTTGAATACCTACCTATTCATAATGTATCTTCCGCAACCAACTTTTGAGGAGAATGAATTAAATTAGTATACAAAGTATAGGCTGCCATAACAACACTTTTTGCTAATATTTTATACGTTTCGCAGGTGGTTTATGGCTTGCCTAAGGATATGTATTTTAGTAAATTATAAATTATCAAGTGCTTATAGCTGTTTCATTATAATGTCATGTTGCAATGCAAGACTAGTTGAGAAATAGATTGGCATGCATTTCATAACTAACGAAAAAAATTAAATACCTAAATGAAAAATATGAAAGTACGAGTACTATCAGGATTTTGATGAAATTTTGACTCTGGGTTACTACTATGAAAATGATGGAAAAGCTCTGCAGTTTTTGAAAATCGGTACAGTGTCGGCGGAGTTATCGTCAAAAAATAAACAAAAAACAGCCAAACTTCGTTTTTCGACATTTCTGATGCTTCTGACAGACTTAAGTTTTGGTCGCTGAAATTATTTGTCGGCGCTCAAAAAAAATGTTTTATCGTACATTTTGTATAATTTTTCCTTCAGCTGTAAAGGTTCATGCGCGACACTGACACCGATAATAGACGTTGGCGCCACCATGTGTCGAACGTCCGAGACTAAAAAGTTCATCCCATCGTGTAGGAGACACACTTGCCAATTGTGGGGTGTCGAACGTTGTAAACAACGTTGGAAGCATCGTGTGGGACCCGCATTACTAGATTCACGATTCATTATTGCCAACGCTACAGAATAACACAAAGGTGTCCCCAGTAGACGTCAATCGTGATGGATACTCGTGAAATAGGGTTTAGATATCTAGAAGGAGCCAGTCAAGGATTTATTTGTCTCTTTATTCTCATAGTCTGCAGTAAGGATCAAAGTGCACTTGACAAATATTTGCGATTTGCGATAAAGTGGTTCTCAGCCTTAATTTTGATTTTATTAAAAAAACTGATTCCGGCTCTGGAACTATAAATTCCAAGAACATTTTCAGTTCAATTTTAAGCATTATTTTTTGTAAGATGTTGATAAAATCAAGTTGGTAGCGCTTATAATTTTGTGTTATGTGTCATATAAACTGGTAAAAATAAGATATTTGAATAAATAAAAATCTATTTTGCTAATTAATTAACAACATTCATTGGCTTTTTATGCATAGATAAATATTTCATTGTCTGGCTTAAAAGGTGTTCATTTTGATAGAACACAAAAAATATAAGAAAATCGAGTCCGGTCCTGGATCTTAAAACCGGCCGTCTAATTTTACGTTACTCCTGGATAGCTTTGCTATCGTGAAAAATTTCAACAAAATCGGTTCAATAGCACCCAAGATATATGATCCAAATTACTAGACGTATTCTGTACTGATGATTGCTAAAAGGCATGAAACAACGTTGTATACGGTTGGTTATAGCCGCAAAGCTGGAAAGCACGCAAATCCTACTCAGCCCGTAACTCATATTCCTTGAATACTTAAAACGACTAAATTGAAGAGCATAGCTGACAAAAGAACATAAATCTTAATAAATTAACTTTTCTTAATGAACCTCTGCGAATTCCTCAAGCCCTCTATTTTTGAGCGTTTGTATAGGAATCTGAAGCATGACTTTATACATCGTTTCATACATTTGCACAAAATTCGCAATACAGCTCCAACAGACGGTATGCTCAATTCAAAATACCTTTGGTATACTTTGACTGTCAGACTGGAAGGCTATCGAGCCATTATGTACTCCTAATCGTCCTCTCTTGAAATAGGAATACTGTGCGCTACATGGTAGAAGCCTTCCAGTTCAAATACGTTCAGAGAACATTTCAACGTACATATGCGGGATTCAGATCCGAGAACGGATGTATGTCTTTGATATAATTCTCGCCCGGGGTATACAAAACAATAATGCAGTAGACTCGTTCACAAAGGCACCTGAGGACAACGTAAGCGCCCAGGATAGCGTCTTATATTTATCGCTAAGATTCAGTAAAATATCCCTAAACATTCTGTTTGGGTCAAGAAGATTCACTCGATACTTCCAACGCAACTTTATAGCAATGTACTTTAAATATGCAATATGTATAGTGTCGAAGTCATCTTTTGCACCCTTTGGCATCTTTATTATTCTACTGCTATGAAAATCCCCTGATACCCTGACATAAGATTGTAGAATAGACTGAGCATCAGTGAAAAACAGTATTGTTGACTTAAACAGAGGAAATTACGGACTTTGAATATGAGGCAACCTTTGTTCGTTCTGGTATCTTTACTGTTCGCTGGCTATGGAAGCTCCTACGGCTGGTGATGTTATTCTAAAATCTTATTGAAGTAATCGGCTCTGACTACGCAGAGGCTGGGGCACCATTGTTGTTGCTGAATTCGGATCACATCCTCCGCAGATAAAGGATATCGCGTCTTCCTGGGTAGCTCAGGTTTCTGGAGTCACATACGTAAATATGTGTAATATTGTGTGCATCAGGTGGATAATACTACCGAAATCACCAATACCTAATTATAAAACGTCTGCCACTGTTATCAAACATCTATTCATTTGGTTTTTTACACCAAGATCAACCGCTACTGGTCCGATTTCCAAAAACTACAAAGCTTTCATCAAAATCTGACCGGTATTCAAGTTATACTGAGGGGGACGGATAGAGCGACAGACATATGGACATGTACGATAGCATCCAAAAAGCATATCTGATTTTCGAAATTTTTGCGATTATAATACTCCTCGCCAGTGGCATGAGAAGCAAAAAGTTTTATACACATGGGACCTAACACGGAATTCATATTTAATTATAGGCAGCAGCGGTGGTCGCAGTAGTAGACTCTTCGGTCTCCTGATCAGTCGCCGTGCGCTGTGCGGGTTCGAGTCCCGTCCCAGGAGAAATGTTTCTCTTGGCTATGGATGTTGTGATTGTCCGTAGGTGGTAGACGGTCTCTGACTGTCGAACGTGGAGGTACCACCCGGCGGATCTCGTAGGCGGAGCCAGAATGTGTGCATGTTCCATGCACACGTGTTCCCTCGCGCCAGAGTCCGTGTGGCGTTCCCCTTTCCCCTGTATCCCCCTATAGCCCCACGGTACCCAATGGGTGTTTAGGCCTTACCCCTTCGTGGTAGTTGGAGTATAAAAAAAAATGCTATACACACATGAGTAGAGAAAATATAGGAGTCGAACCAAACACTTGGCCCACTTTCAAGGTCAAATGTCTTCTCTGCTGGCATGATATTCTATTCCAGTGCAAAAAATACTTAATGGAGTTCTTACCTTTGTTCTTTGTTCCCCTTTGGTTTCTGATCAGCACTTCGTGGTCGTCTTCTTGCCACAGCTCTCCATCGGCTACAATCATACCAACTAGTACCATAGAGACAATGCTGAAGTACACCCACTTCATCTGAAACAAAAGGTACAATATTGTACTACCGATAATATGTAAAACTTTTGCACCAGCGTTTATTTATTATATATTTATTTAAAGAATAATAACATGTTAAAAACATAAAATTTAACATTTAGTAGATAAAATATTTTTAGGCATCGATCGTTTTGCTGTAGTTTTGAATAAAAAAATAAGTACACATGCATTTCCACATCATGACCTGTAGGTTGGAAGCTATACAATATATTGCTTTTAAAAAATGATTGTAGTTGAGTTAGTGATTCGACATTCTTACGTATCAACGACCTCCTTCCCTGTACGACTAATCCGATCCACAGCTTTGCAGACGATAGCACTCTACATGCAGGTATTCAGAGTGACAAGCCGATCTCTGTCGGTGAGCTGGAGGAAAAAAGACTAGCAGCAACTTCCTCTTTGGCGAGAGAATTGGAGGTTATCACTACGTGGGGATGCAATAATCTGGTACAGTTTAATGCTTCCAAAACACAGTACTGTACCTTGACGAACAAGATGCGCACTAGAGCTCATCTGGATTCGATGGGTGACCGAGTTCTACCAAAGAGCCGTTCATTTCGGCTGATCGGAGTCCAGGTCACCGAGGACTTGATCTGGCATGAAACATCTCGTCAATGGCGGCAGCTGCTGGGGAAACGCTAAGCTATTTGTATTTTTCTTCACATAACCTCCTCACTCTGTACAAGGACCAGATAAGACCTCGCCCCGAGTACTGCTCACATGTTTGGGGTGCTGTCGCAAGACAACGTCATCCATGGTAGATGCTGTTTAGATGACTCTTCTCTAACGGACAGTCCCCATACCCTTTAGCACCGACGGGCCTTCGGCGATCTAGCTCTCCTCTACCGCAATGTCAACATGCTCTGCTTCTCTGACCCGCCTGACCTCTGCCTCCTATCCTAACCGTGTCGAACTTCGTACATACAGAACAGGTCGATACGACCGCTCCTCTATCCCTAGGGTATCGAGATTATGTAACAGTCAACCTGAGGACGCTTTTCCCATTTCTACTGACAGGCAGTTCAAAAATCGGGTTAAGTTTCTTCAAGTCTTCTGTTTACGGGGCTGCTTTGGTTTAAAAAAACATGGGACATATAAGCCATAAAAACAAGCAGCACATGAGTGTGATGGTATGTTGTTTTGATGAAGCTCTTCGGTTGTCACATCAGGGTTTGTCAGATGCATTGTGTGGTAGCTGAAAAGCTTTCTCATTATAAAGTCATTTTATAACGCTGGTGCATAGCCGTATGGATCATTTACTTTCCACCACATACGAGCCATCATTTAATATGTATATCATATTTCAGATATTGCAATTGCAGTGTTATCATTCGTGTCAAATATAATGTAAATTCAATGGAAAATTGCTATTGCCAATCCGTAAAGTGCAATATTGTTCATGGGACCGCAATAAATGCATATTTGTCAACCGATTTTGATTAAAATCATTCCCGATTGCGTTACTGGAATATGTGATTCAACATCCCTCATGCGTAATTCAAGCTTTCTTGCTGCCTGGCAGGGGTAATAAAGGGTATTTCCCTTCTGGCACAGAAGTTATCGAGCTTGTGGTTTACACTCTTGGACAAAATTATACATGCAATCGTCGCACACTCCCATAACTGCTAAGCTTAAGCTACTTATAGCACATTGATGATTATATATATGTTTATTGTGCACAATATTTGATATTTACTTGTATTTTGTGACAATAAACATTATTATTATTATTATTATTATTATATATATAATCATATATAATTTTCTCTTCGTATATATATATATATATATATATATATATATATAAACATGTAATTTAGAATAGAATAGAAAGTATTACTGCCTTAGAGAGAAAACGCTATAACTTTTCTCAAACTACTTTCCCTAAAGTCAGTCACATACGAAAACGTTATATGCGAGAGTCCACATACCGATATGTCGCAAACATTAAGTTAATTAGAGTCATCTACCCGAAGATAGCCAACCATGTAGTGTATTTCAGCGTCCAAAAAAATTAAAAAGATGAAATGAGATGCAGTAGCGACATCTATGAAAATTTGTCACAACTATGTTTCTCCTCTTGGCAATAATTATAAATCTACTTTGAAACGGTTAGTGTCTCATAGATGATGCTGTAGCCAACTATATGCTCGCATAGCTATGTACCACTATCGTACTAAGCACAGAGGGGATATCTGCAGTTAACAGGTAAGAGAAAACCACGTCCTAAATTTGGACCTCTGAATGTCGTTTAAGAAATGGCCAGGAAACGGTTATTTCATATTCATAGGCCTAATTATTTTTTACATAGATATATAGCTGAATTTCGTCAAAATATCACTCCATCAGCTCAATTAAGCAGATAAGGCAAGTTAAGCATATTGAATGATGTTAAAATACTAAACAAAATAGCCATGTGTACATAATAAACTGATTGAGTAGCATCTGCAACACTTACGGCTAACTTGCGTTTGAGGTTACTAAAGTTACTAAAGCAAAAAAAAAGTGGCAACTGTTATGTTACTAGACGCATAAATAAAAATTATCTGTACGTCAGGCTATAAATTGACCCCCTCTGACTTCTTTATATGACCTTCCAGAAGAAAAAGTTGTATATAAAAGTTATATATGAGTTATTAGGAACTTCTTTACGGTATATTAAGAAGCTTTTCATGTAATATTTTTTATATCTCAGAAAAGAGCTATCGTATTGGCAAACCCTATCTGTTTTCAGGGAAAATTGTAGCTTTTTCTGACTCAATATATATGGTTTATGATACCTATTTGTTTTCATTAGTTTGGCCAAAAACTTTAAGTTTGTGTGTCATTTACTGATGCGTATCTTAGTTTGAACCAGTTTGCATCTAGCCGCATATGCAATCTGATATTGAGACGGAATACATATGATTAAGTGACAAAGAGACCTCAAATTTTTGACTGAAGTAGCAAAAACAAGCTTAACGAACCATATATATTGGAAATCAGAAAAAAAGGAACGATAATTTTCTTGGAAAATATACAGGCGTTCTATTTAAAAAATACAACTTTATTCGACAGCACTTTTTCTGACACAGACAGTATAAAAGGTATTACTTGAAAAACTTCATATTTGATTTTTATATACAACTTTTTCTTCTAGAAACTCATATAAAAAAGTTATAGAGGGGGTCAGTTTATTAGCCGGACACCATGTACATGTTACTAGGCCAAAAAGTCGTATCTACAGCAGGATTTCTATTGTTAGACTAAAGCAAAAAGGTGGCAGCTGTTACTAAAGCATAAAAGTTGTACACGACGCTAAGCGAAAAAGTCGTATTTACAACATGACATGACATGACATTTGTGCAGTACGGATTTTAAGAAAACTATTGTTTTTTGACTGAAGCACTTTGCAAATAAGTGGAGAAAATGTTAACGATTCACTAGATATCAAAAACCAGATAATCTAACCCTTTGAAAGTATATTTCTAATTATTCTACATTCATTTTTGTGTTCTACTACTGTCTCATAGATGGCGCTAGTCTTTCAGATCCGTTTTTGCACGCGGGAATATCGTATTATGTCGGTTATCTTCAGGTAGAATATATTAATCAATAGTTGAACTAAAACTAAACGAATCAGGTTGCTGGAAGCGGGCAGGTGTAGCGGGGAGAAGAATGGGTTTGGGAAATTCGAAAGTTGTACTGGTCGCGCCATCTATCGAACAAAAGCGCAAGCGGCGCCAACGTATCGGCCATTCAAAAATTCAAATAGTTGTTAATTATACTTCTTCTACTAACCTTTCACTGTTATCAAATTGGTATCAAAAGCTATCAATATTAATTACAAGGTATTCATCACAAAATCTCAGAAAATAATCCTGACCACGTTCCCCATGAGGAAGTATTATCAATCAGTCGAACAGCGTAGCAGCATCAGAGACATGAAAAAAGTTACTGAGTTTTGTACACAGTGAGGAGGTACGATGAGATCGAATAGTGGTGTTCATCCTCGGTAACACCAGCAACCCCGGATGAATGTGTCATCAAAATAAATCCAGGACAATTGTTAAATAATTAATTTTCAACAGGAAGCCAGTTTTGAAAACCACTCAACATGGTCATACAATCATTCCAAACACTTTGTACATTAATTATAAATTAAAGTTTGGATGTATAATTTGACATGTATTATGCATGTCCGTAACTGTAATTAAAACGTGCCAGTCATGAATAATTTCTGTTATGCACAATTTATAAAACGTTATTTCAAATTATAAATCGTTTTCCGGAGCTGTAAACGCGAACAAAATATTGCGCCCTAATAATTTTATGAAAAAAGGGGAAAATAAATGTAGCACCGGGCATTTTCAATTGTCGAGTAGGACGTGATGTTTATACGCGCCAATAATTCTGACGTACCCTGGAACAAATATTTTACATATAATAACATACAATTAAAATGACAGGGTGATACAGTGGTAGGTTTTAAATGCATATAAAATGGATTCATCAGTTGGTACCTCAGTTGAGCTAGGCTTCATCAATCGGCCAACTCGCAATAATCCTATTTTTGAGCAAGATAATGCTTAATACCCCAACAACGGTTAAGTTAGCTTCGTTTCTTGAACTGCTAGACCTCTAGACCTTTCGCCCATTGAACATGCGTGGGATATGATGGGAACAATAGTGACCTCTTCACCTTATCCTCCAAAAACTCTAGCAGGTCTTTGGAACCAAGTACATCTGGCTCGGGATGAGATACCTCAAGAAGACATAAATCTCCTCATCAGAAATATTCCCAGACTACCGGACTTAAGCACGACTTCTAACTATATGCGAAATGTCATTGAAGTAAAGTAATTTTTTCTATATTCTGTGTTCTTTATCACTGAATACATCAAAAATGCTTAAGGTCGCAACACCCAACAGTAAATAAGTGACAACCAATATTAATTATACTAAAATAATTATAGACTGGGAAATGTCAGATAGATTGATTGATATCCCAGAATTTCAATGCGGATTTTCCACAGGGATCAAATTTGTCTCCAACATTGTTTCCGTTATGCATTAGTGACTTCTTTTCCTAGGCTGCGATGAATCCGACTGACAATTTCGTAGATAACAGCACTACACGTGCAGGCATTCATAGCAATATTGTAATAATATACCTCTTTATTTATTTGTAACAGCATTGTAGGGTTATATGGCGAAATTTAGTCTTTGCTACTCTTACATTCAACGATAAAAGTGGCTCGTAGATGTTTATAATAATGGTATGTTTCTAGATACCAAAAGTTTTTGGATCCATTGTATTGCAATCAAAATGTTGACTTAATTCACTTCTGCGAAGAGAGTTACTTGGTCTTCCATTTTTGCAATGGAACACTGACAGAGGGCTTACTATTAAATAGCATATGTGTTCGGAGTCTGCTTTGAGCAAGATCGAGAAGACCATGCTATTTTATGAGCATGTGTATCTTAAGTCTTTATTATAGTTGCCGAAATATGAATAGTATACTACTACATTACAGGAATTTAGTTCAGGATTCACATAATTTTTTACGTAACTTCAGATACGTAGAGTTGAAAGACTTTTGAGATATTCAATATAGATCTTAGCTTTGTGTCACAATACGATATCAGGAATTTTTGCAGAAGGATACATATCAAACTTCCTCTCTAACGAAAGACCGGGAAGATACCGCTTACTAAGTTTCGCTTCAAAAAATCGGTTCAAGCATTTTATAACACTCACCGAGTCAGAACACCTCCGGATTTAGGCTATGCTTTCGCGGCTACACCACTAGACAGAAAGTTGATCCTTAGCAGATCCACAGCTCAGCTTTAGGTATATTTCAAGCATCATAATAAGGTACATTTTCGTGGCTGCGAGGCCTTAAGGCCTACTCTTCTAGAACGTAATCTACAAAAAGGGGAACAAATGTGAATCCTGAAATGCAAACTAGGTCAGAAACAGAACAAAACAGCTCAGTTACGTCGTCTCCCTTATCTCTTGTGTATACTCATAAAACGTGGAAAAAAATTGACAGTGTCGTATTATTGCCACTATAAAGCTTTAAGCGGAAATAACTGTTCCGGCATCGTAGTTTCTCGTCGCTTTTTTGTTATGCTGGCGCATTAAAATGGCCCTGTTATCATTCTTCGGTGTTCAGGAATGTCGCACTTCAGGGGAATTGTAGATTTTCCAGGGTTCTGCACAAGCATTGTAGATCTCAACTATTATCGAGACGAGTGCTCAAGAGGGATATTCAGGGTATAAACGAAAGTGCTCTGAAAGGTATTTTTGAAAAAGGTTGTCTTTACTAACCTTGGTGACTTTGAATTTGACCTTGCGCTTCATCTAAAAGATTATTTTAAAGTTAATCGTGTTTTTTTTAAATAGAAAACCCCGTTTTATTTCTTACGCCACTGGATTTTTTTTGGATCTTATATCATATGTACATCACAAAACACCATGTCACTCATATCTATCGCTCTGTCTCTCTGTCTGTTTACTAATACTTGACCACTCTATAACTTGAGAAGTACAGCTGATGAAATGTTCACACAAGGTTATTACTATACCAAGGACGAAAAAAGCTTTGCAGTTTTTTAAAATCAGCCCAGTGGCGGAGGCTCCTGATCATTTTCGGTAGAAATTTTGGAGGGGTTGGAGGATTTAGGGGATGGGAGAGGGTGTATGAAATTTTTTTGATCTTAGTATACTTATAAGCTCCCAACCCCAGTGATCCTATGCAGCTATAAGCCATATTTCACACATCATTGATTTCACGAACTGAACAAAGGGACAAGGTTGACAAATGATCAGTAACTACCGGTAGGGCAGGGAAAGAATGACCATGGACTAATTGTATAGGCCTATTTGGCTGACTTGATCCATCTAATGCATCTGCTGCAAATCTAAGATCACCTTTTAATGTCAAATGTGTGAGGCTAGAGAAAATTCCCGGAGGTTTATCAGGATTATTGATGAAAAAAATCAAGACGAGACATTTGATAACTTCCAGCATGTATTTCAATATTGACCTTGAATATCACTTTGACAGTCTTTCCGCTGTTAAAAACATTGACTTTGAAGGCGATGTACAAGGTTGAATGCATGATCACCAATAAAACCCTTGTTAAAGGTTACTATTATTAGATTTTAATACATATTCTGACGTAGAATTTTCCGTTCAAGTTGACCTTGAAATAACCATGAAGGTTAGGCTCAAGGACAGATCTAAGGCCCATGACATCATCTGGAAACGTACAGAGCCATACCGTTTCTTTAAGTTAAATCCGGTACTTTTTGAGTAATCCCATGATCGAAATCCTAAAAACAATATTCTAGGTATTTTAGGTAATCTGGAAAATTGAAGAAAATTCCAGGGTATACAAGGATATTTTATATCCCAGTGGGAAGATGCAATTCAAGAAGATTTTCTATCTCACTAGGAGGATATCTGAGACACTCCAATCACGATACTTGAGGCGATTCCGGAAGTATCTGGAAATCCAAGGAGATCTGAGGCAATCTCCGAACCTGCGCATGTACAAGCGGCACGTTACTGTCGCCATTATATCCCATGGTTGCTACCCCTAATGATTTTTCAGTAGATCTGACGTTTTTTTCGATGGAGATACAAAGAGATCCGAGCAAATCCGAGAAAGTCTAAGACCCACAGAAACCTGGGCAATGTAGAAATTTGGTTCCAGTAAAGTGCCAATTGTTAGAAATTCAGGTTATCTATATGATTACAATTTGTGAAAGCTGAAATCATGTAGGGCTATTTTTATAGGGATCAGAAGCTTTGTCAGTGCCAAGCTATTCCATCAAGCTGATAACAGACTTAAATTTGAAACTCTCTTGTTTCTTAAAGTATCGACAGCACCTGGGTTTTGGGCTTTTTTATACCGAAGCAGCCCAGCAGAAGCCTAAATGCCAGGGCACCGCGGCTGCTACGTGGATCCGAAAGAAACTTTGTTAATCCGATTTTTTAACTGACTAAGGTTATTAGAACTGAGATTATCTTCCTCCTGTAGATTGTTCCACAATCTGGATACACTGGGGACAAAGGAGCGGTCATATGGGTCAGTTCCGGATATACGAAGTTCGACATGGTTAGTATGGAAGGCTGAAGTCAGCCGGGTCTTTCATTGATGCAGCAGTAAAAGAGAGCTAGATCGGCCAAAAAAGTGAAAGGGTCTCGAGACTGTTAGACAAGAGTCATCAATCAGTTGGACAATCCTCTAAAGTTGGGGCGGCAGCACCCCAAACATGTGATCAATACTGGGCTAGGCTAGGCTGGATGAGCGGTAGGACCCTTTTTGTTCATCAAAGTAAATTAGTGTTTTGTAAATATTAAACTGTACAAGATTGTTGCGTCCCCAAGCAGTGATAAGCTCCAGGTCTCTCGTCAGCGAGGAAGTCGTTGCTAGTCTTCTTTTTTCCAGCTCACCGGCAGAGATTGGCTTGTCACTCTGAATTCCTGCATGTAGAGTACTGTCATCAGCAAAGCTAATGGGCATAATGGACATATTGGAACTAACGTTGGCACCAACATAGTATGAAACGTTGAAGCGAAATTAAAGCGGAACCTCCTCACATGGGTCGCACTTAGGCAGCTTGTAGGATATGATTGATCCAACCCAAATCCAAAAACTCAAGTCTCCACCCCTGCCTGTGATTTTTCACATCTCACGACGGATGCGGTGCTTTGGAAAACTGCAAGAAGCTCTTTGTACTTCTTACATTTCTTGACTGCGAATGCATTTTTTTGGCTCACTCCAGAATATACGGCGAACGGTCGTCCGGCAAGAAAGGTTACTCTAAATCACTTTTATGTTGAGCTTTAACGTAAAGTACACACCCAAAGACGCAGTCTCATCGCATGAATTATTCATGTTCTCAAAATATTACATCTTTTATTTTGTCTTTACTTTTTCTTCCAAACCAAGGTGTGTTTGGCATAAAATGAGCTTCAGGTACGTTTGATTACTTATGGCCTTGAATAGGGAGCTTAAAGTCTCGCGACAACGAAACGCTCAAAGTGAGGGGAATTTGTAACAATAAACAGGGTACAAAATGTGCGAGGAAAACTTCACAAATCCTTCCATCAGCTGTTTCTATTCTAGCCTTACTCAAAATTCGCGACAAGGGGATTTATTTTAGCATGGGGATATAAATAGTTCAAATCCACTTTTTTACAGCGTATTTTATCTATCAATTCATAAAACTGTGTTCAGCATCAAACAGCCCCTCGTATAATAAAGGAATTCGATGGATCAAGTCCGTCTCCAAGCCTCAGGCACTTCCAAGAATCTGGATGCCCTCTAAAATGTGCCTGTTTAGCATAGCTTTGTGAGCCATATAATATTCAGACTGATACATAGTCATAATATACAGATAGTTTTCCTCTTGAAAATGACTAATCGGGAAGACCTCCTGCAGGCGCCTTTGGGCACTAACCTTCAAACCGATGCACACCCAGACCAAGGTATTGTGGCTTATTATTGCCAATTACACTTACATAGTGTCTTATTAACAAGTCGAATGTTGTGATACCTGTAAGGTGCATAGGGGAAACCCGGGCAAAGCAAAAACTCCGGGAAAATCGAAATTCCCAAACCATGAATCGGCCATCGTGACAAAATACATAACCTTGTCCAACCATGACCAATAACCGGCAATCGGATGCAAAAAACTCACGTGGTCGAGACAGCAAAATGTATTTTCCAAAAAAAAGTATGTTAACTCTTCACTTCGTTACGCTGTCAACAGTTCGTAAAGGATTATGTTTGGCGCAAGTCAGCCCTCCTGAGCAAAAAGTTAGCTACGAAAATATATAACATAAGGAATTGCTGCAGCTGCCCATGATCGTTGGGATGACGAATCTTGCGTGACTACTATGCACAGTTTACGCAACCCACAGTACTGTGGATGTGGGAGCAATCGCCGACTGTGATATACGACCACATATGACGACCCTTGTCCATCGGAGGCGACACCGCACGAATCGACACCCGACTGTAGGAGATATTTCTAAGTTTTAAAGGTATATGTACTGGGACATCTATGACATATGCCTAATATGTACGTAGAATTACTGGTGATGGAGGTGTATGAATATACCAACGTCAAAAAATTGAGATATGTCAATCCCCACCCCCTGCTACCTCTAACCCCCAAGTTTTAACCCCAATGAAAAAAAAATCCGAAAATGATTAGGATCGTCTGAAACGTCAAAAAACGAAGTGTGAGCGATTTTTTTTTTGTTTTTGACCTTTTTTCCATCGCCACTGGACTGATTTTCAAAAACTATTCTGCGTCCTTGGCGCAGTATCTATATCTAGTAATATTGTGTACCAATTTCATCGAAATCCGAGCTGTGCTTCTCAAGTTATAGTCGGTTATAGGATTAGCGATCAGACTGACAGACAGACAGACCGATTGAAATGAGTGACATAGTTTTTCGTGATGTACATGTCTTATAACATATAACATAAAACAAAATATCTCATTTTCGAAGATGTTCGCGATTACAATACTTCATCGCCAGTAGGCGTGGGAAGTAAAAATGGCTTTGAAAGATAGCTGTGCGTGTAAGTAATTCCATTTATACAGTGCTCTTCTTTAATGCCCCCCTCCCCTTTGATTTTTGGATCAATTCAAAAAATTAAAACTTGAGGTAATGAAATTGATGCGTGGATATCATATTTTAGAGTAAAATTGACAGATGAAAATGTCAAAATGGCCGCTGGGCCTGGACCTTTACCTACTACAAAATGGTGATACATTTAATAATCACCTGAATAGATTGACATTTAAATTGATAATTCGAATAAATATGTTGAGTTCAGTTTAGAAGATACTGGAAATGGTTGCCTTGAACTTCTTGACACAATAACAGCCGGTCCGTAATTTC